ATCTCTCTCTCTCTCTCTCTCTATCTCTCTCTCTCTCTCTCTCTCTCTCTCTCTCTCATGAGTAGCCGCCTTCGCCCGGCCCACCACCACCGTCGCCGGCGCCACTGCCGCCCCCACCGTCGCCGGCCCCGCCGCCGCCCTCGCCCGGGCCAGCATCGCCGCCACCCCCTCCTTCGCCCGGCCCGCTCTCGCCACCGCCGCCGGCGTCGCCACCACCACCACCGCCGCCGCCGCCATTTCCACCACCGTCTCCGCCAGAGCCGTCTCCACCGCCGCCGCTCTCGCCACCAGCGCCGACGCCTCCCCCCGTGACCACGGTTTCCCTTGAGGTTGGCGTCATGACGCCTCTGCCAAAGGTTCCGTCCTGCGCTACGGCGACTAGCAGCACCAGTCGCTGCCGAAGAAGATCGAGGCCTTTGTAGGGGCCGGAGTGTCGTCGCTGTTTCTGCTTTCTGCTGGATACGCGCACAGCCTCGCCATCACCACCGGCAGAGCCGTCTGGAGCTGGGGCTTTGGAAGCCGAGGCCGGTTGGGCCATGGCGACGAGCAGAACCAACCGCTGCCCAAGAAGGTCGAGGCCTTTGCTGGGCAGCGCGTCATCGCTGCGTCGGCTGGAGGGGCTCACAGCCTCGCCCTCACCGCCGATGGCGCCTTCTTCGCCTGGGGCAAGGGTGAAGACGGCTGCCTAGGGCACGGAGAGAACCTGTTGAATCAGATGCTGCCCAAGAAGATCGAGGCGTGGGCGCCGGGGCAGTGAGGCAAGGCTAGTGCCATTTCACTCTGACACGCTAATCTTGAAAACGTCTCCAACGGAGCTCCGTGTTGCTTCCAGCGCCCTCCCCCGCGCTCCCTGCGGCCATGGCCGATGCTCCTAGAAAGAGAGGTCATCTGGCTACCGCGAGAGCGACCCAACTCGTCGACATCGTCCGATGATGGTGCCGCAAAGTCAGCCTTCGGAGGCTATCGTGGGGTCGAGCCGGCAGTAGCCGTGACATGTGGTTCCACCACCCCTCGTAGGCTTTGCCTCTGACCGCCACCGTTCCCAGGCTGCCTAATTGGATGGAAAGGAAGGCTCGGCGAGCGTATAGAAGCGTGCTCGACCTCGTCGTGGCAACCTGTACGGCAGCGCTGGTAGGCGCGATGAGCGTCGTGCCACCTGACCCGAGACGGGTCGCAGGCGTCGTACCGAGCGCGTCGAGACCGTGTCCTGATGTGATCTGCACGGGTGAGTCACGTCGGCGTCAAAGGAGCGACGTGCGACCTGTCAGAGCTTGATCTCCAATCTCAGCGGCGTCGAGTCGTCTCCGGCGGCGACAATTTTGTCCCTCCCCAGGACGCACAGAGGCAGCTGCGACCCCGCCGAGTGGACGGGGGCACTCCGCGCCACCTGCCGAGTGCCCCCGTCCACTTGGCGGGGTCGCAGCTTCCTCTGGAAGGCACCGAGAGGGACAAAATGGCGCAAATGGTCAAATCAAGGTTTTGTAACGCGAGCTGTGCCACAGTGAAATGGCACTAGCCCAAGCAAGGTACTTCCCCCCCCCCCCCCCGGGAGATGACGCATCACGGCTTTCACGGAGGGACGGGCATCCCGAAA